CTGTTATCTGCAGTTTTCATCCATCTGGATCCAGCGAGCTTGGTTCAACATAAAGGTTATTAAAAGAAAAACAGAATCGAAACGTCTGCCGATAACTGTTTTTGAATGAGTGAAATTTTTGATAACGCTTTCAATCGTAATTTAGTTGGATGTTTTCTCCCGGAAGACAGTGTCTAGATGTTGCATCAGACGGTAGTCCAAAGGATAAGTCTAGTTAACAAGGTGGGCGGGAGAGAGTATTTTGTTTCCAAACTGGTTCAGTTTCCTAAAAATGACTAAATGAATGAAACATGAGGATATGCATCATCAGCGAGTAGAATTCAGCTTCTTTGAATAATCAATGATTGGGGTAGTTGGGTCATGATCCGGAAGGATCCAAATATGAGAGTAAATTTATGTCGTGATGGCTTTTCCAGGTTCTTCAAGAAATCATAATTGATGACACGACCTGTAGCCCACCATGCAGTGGCCGCCATAATGCCGCAACTTTCTTATAGTGGACCCTATGAATTCAACATTTGCATGTGCTTTAGAGATTTCTTCTCTGACGAGTCACGCGCTTGTCGTTGCATCGTCTTGTAAAACAATTTTTTGGTAATAGGCGATGATTCGACCCTGAAGTGGATTCAACTGTTTCTTGTGATCAGCAAAGGACAGATCTTCAAACGACAAGTTTATTATTTTTTGTTCATTTCAAGGGGCATAGACGTGTCAGTTTTTTTCATATACCGTATATCATATGATCATGTTTCAGTCTTCCAGTGTGACAGTTGCAGGCCGTAATATTACTTCGCGGTATTGTGGATGAACTGAACCAGTAGCGCTTCTTTCAGCTTCTCGAAATCTTACGCTTTCATGATCATTTTTGCTGAAATTAAGCTTGTTACGGATTCGAGGGATATCTCTGAACGGGTTTTGTAAGAAACCATCGATGCAATTCTGTCTCTCCATCTTTGCATGTGTAAAATTCAAATATCTTTCTTGCTTAAGAGAATCGTACATGTCGTCGAAAGTTGACTGTATCATTCGTGTGTTCAGCGTTTTGTCAGATGCAGTTATTCGCAACTTTTCTCTACACACTCTTTACGGGGACGTTCCGGCCAAGGAAGCTTGAACTGAATGTCCTTGTCAAAAATGATCACTCCATTACCCTGTGGGAATTCTTGAGAAAAAATCAGGAGATTGAAATACTTTTGGTAATCCTGACATTTGCTGCTTTCCGTACGACCCTTGCAGCAGTTTTAGATATGCGATTGAAATTCATAAAATTTTGTGGACTTATGGAATTGAATCTTAATCGAAATCGATTAAATGGAATTAATGGAAGGGCGTACTTTGCAGAAGCCGTTTCACTCTAACGTTTATGAAATGGATTCCTCGTACCTCTGTTGTGCTTTTGAACCATGTCTCTTTGTCAGCTGTTTCGTTGTCCTGTTTTTATGCACTGTCATAACATGGTGCCTGCTTCATGTGTTATTTTTCAGGTGCGTCGATAATACCGACAGCGAACCGTTTCGTCAGTCAGATTTTGAGGAAGCATTGAAGAAATTCAACAAATCAAAAATATCATCGCTGCACGACTTCTCTCTCTTCATGGATGCGTGACGAATGCCTTCAAATTCAGACTTCATCGAAAACATGAAGAATTCAACACCCCTGATGCACTCGGCATTAAATCAGAAGTTTCAAATGCCGTTATTGACCCTTACTTACGAATGATTGTCTTCCGTTCATTAGCAGATTTTGGAAAACTTCTTCGTCTAATTAAAACTTCTTGAGTGTTGTTTCAGTCTCATCAGCTGGCCGGATTGGTAACGGAACATTCACCTATTCAACATGGCACGGAATTCGAACTCTATCTTATGTTTTGTTTACTACTCGATGCCACCTACTAGCCCAATGTTTTTTCTATGTCGTGAACACAGCTTTCTTGCATTAGATTTTAGTATGAAAATGCGGACAATTTTGTTTGTTATGGTCTTTTCAAGGATGTGTATAAACTGGTATTTGACGTTTGTTTGTTCTTTTGTTACACAGTTAAACAGTTCATTCCCAGATTTCGTTGTGTCTTTGATGAAGTAATGGGATTGGACATCCTTCTATCGATATTTTGTTTGACACATGAGTAAGTTAAACATATGCAGGCTGACAGAAGATAGATACAATATCTTTTATATTCTGTTGTTCTGCCGTTCCATCATTTCGTATAGTTCGAATTTCTTTTAGCACATGCCAAAGTTCAACTGTTTTCGACTTAGTCATGACGGGGGCATAAAGTTTGGTGGAGGAACAAAATCTTAGAGAAAACTTGCCAAAGCAGCTGTCCTTTGGGACCGAAAAATAATAATTTACTTGAAGCTGGGTCATCTTTCTGGGTTTGAAACTGTCATGTGATTTTTAGCATGTTTGTAACTACATGAATCAGTGCATAGTGCTGAACCAATACGGTGGCAAAGAGCAGTGAAGAGTCTTTAATCCTCGAGAGTTATTCCTTTTTATGCTCTAATTTCAAGATAGTCTCTCGATGGAAAGTCACATGAGCAGCTGCGCAGGGCCAACTACTCTGACATATTGAGCATATGACATATTCGCGAATTGAAATCCAATATATGGTACTTCCGCAGGCAGCGAAACATTGAAACTATTGGCAGGCTTTATATGACTGCTGCTTCCACCACCTAAAAAATTAATAATGATTTATTAAAATGACTAACTGATTTCCTGCTACAGGTCATAGCATTCTATAAACACAATGGTACTACTTTCGAACCGTTTAACTAAGTCGCAGTATGCTGTCTCATAACATACGTATGTTAGTTTAATTACACTAATACACGAAATATACTGTTAATAATTGTACTGCATTTAGCCTATAGAATTTCGCATCGTTCGTGAATCTGATGGACATTACGCTGCAAAGGATTCCAGAGCGTTGCCGAAAAAATACCTCTCAGGAATTCGCTTATGGCACTGCGGGCTTTCGGAACAAGTAAGATTATTGTGTGAATCGTAGAAAATCGACCAGTGTTGAGGTTGTGGCATGAGAAATAAAATTTTTCTGATTTGTTAGTTAAATCGAAATGAAAGAATTAGAATTTAATTTGATTTATCTTAAATTGCTCTTATTTGCTCTAATTTTGATTTAATTTAAAAGTTACTGCCAATTTTTTTATCAGTTTGCCTTGTGTTTTTGCTTTGCGCAATGAATCGAAGGTTCATGGAATCATGAGAATGCCGTCTGATTGTGGAGTACGATGTCAGTGTGCACATTCACCCATCCTATATTCTCTCTTTATTGTCACATGGAACCGAGCCGATATCAGTTTCCGTAAAATCTTGCATCAGCAGTACAGTCAGAATAGCTCCTTAAGGTCACATGACATGAATTTCCAGATTTCCCAAACTCAGCCGTTTTTCACTCCACCAATGACAATAATGCGAAAGTACATAACTGCCTTTTTGGTCACTTAGCGAGGCCACTCACTGAAGTCTTGCTTACGGTATCCGTGCAGTAACCGTAGGCATTTGCAACGATATTCCGCTGTAGCTTTTCTGATGGTGACCCAGAGGCATACGCTGGA